AAAAAAAAAGTGTGCAGCTGCTTGTACTGTGCAGATTACGGAATTTTTGTCATGCACACTGCATGCATACCCTATTGTATGAGTAAAAGTCAAAGTATACATTAATCTTAAGCAGACTAACTGATTAGAGGACATTATCTGTGCGATTATTCACATGGCATTCATGGTTCAGATGACTGGATAAAAAAACAACTTCTAAAAGACGGCAGAATTCCATTGTGGTGATCATGCACCAACTGCCATTAAGATGAATGGGAATGCAAACCTCCTTGGCAAGCACACATTTATAGGGTCAGATGTGCAATAAAGATAAATGGGAAAACAAATACAAGATAGATGAAGATACAAATTAACCTGCAGAAACATGCACAAACACTAGATTAATGCTGTAATTTATATTACTCTGTCATTGTACTATAACAATTATTACCCTTTCTGGTCAATTCTTCAGGCCATTAACTGCAGCACAGACATCATAACCCATGGGCTCTGCTGTGCCGCTGTTATGCCACACATGTGCCTACAGTCTAATGATGCTTGCTGCACAAAAAAACTCAACCCCTATATTACATTTCCCATTTTAATAAGCCAGTTAATGAGTCGAAACAATGCAATTATCAATTCTGTGGAGCCATAGCGCCGCACAGTCTTAACAAAATTGAAACTACTGCTAAATATGCCATATTCTCACATTCTCAGCACTTTTCAATTAAAACCCTCTCAAATGCTTAAAGGGCAATTACTAGGGGCAGATTACTGTGCGAAACGAGAGGAAGCTTCCCTCCAAATGTTGCTGGATTTGTTTAAAGCCACAAGAGCTTTCTCACCGAAACTGAGACTCATTAAACTTTTGTAATACGGGTTCTGTAATCTTGTAGCGCTATAAAAGTTAAGTGGATATTCTGGCCAGGCAGAGGTAAAGATGTACTGGGTGCAGTTAATAAAACATTAGTATGATGAATTATGGATAGCAGGTTTCAAACACACACTGAGCTACGCCATACATAATGAACTTGAGAAATTAGAAGCTTTCCAGCCATCTGATTGGACGTATTCTCACTGCTTGTGACATTTGAAATATTATTCTGAAGCAGGTTATAATTTACAATGTACACTGCAGTACAGCCAGTGCACTTTAAAACTGCTAGTAAATTTCACAAGCAATTACAAGGAATGTCATGTAACATTGAACTAAACATTAAATTCTGAAATAGAAAAACTAAAATCATATTTTCTTGGAAAAACATTGACACTGGAAATACTCCAACAACATTGAAGCGTATCTTTCTTTCCTCAAACTTTATGGAATTATGATAATGTCAGACAAATGTGAGAGGAAAGAGATCAGTCTTTGGGATTTAATTAGTTTTGCTGACTTCTGCTGCTGAATGGTGCGGCTTTTCAAAACTTGCTCCATCAAAGAGGATCAACAAAATCTTTCAAGATCCGACTGCAAAGGAGTTAACAGTAAATTCCATAACCAGATTAATTCCCACATTGTTTTTTCTCCCACCTCTGCCAGGGTATTTACAAACAAGCTTCATAGTCCCATAGACTCGGCCAGGAAAGCCAAAAATGTGTTTCTTTTGTTGTTAACACCCTTAACCCTGTAAACTGTTGGAGAATTGCATTGGCAACAAATTCTTCCTGGCCCTTGGATCATCTCTGCCTTAATCAAATTTAGACCTACGACACCCTAAACATCAAAGCCTCTCTCTGTTCGGGGAATAAATAAATCCCAGAATTCTTCACATTGCCAGAAACATCTTTGCCAGATGGTGCAGCCATATTTTGTGAATTGGCACTGCAGCCACACAGATTTGCATATCACAGCTCGAGGAATGATAGTTGTTAACTACACATTTATAATCCTTTTAAATAATAATTATTCCAGATTTGGCCAATTTGCTGGGAAACTGGAATCTCATTCAGGCCTTTGAAACATTAAAGGGATACTCCACCCCAAAATGAAAATTTTGTCATTAATCACTTACCCCCATGTCGTTCCAAACCCCTAAAAGCTTTGTTTGTCTTCGGAACACAATTTAAGATATTTTGGATGAAAACCGGGAGGCTTGTGACTGTCCCATTGACTGCCAAGTAAATTACACTGTCAAGGTCCAGAAAAGTATGAAAGACATTGTCAGAATAGTCCATCTGCCATCAGTGGTTCAACCGTAATGTTATGAAGCGATGAGAATATGTTTGTACGCGAAGAAAACTATCTAAAAACATCTAAAATTATAAGGACGTAGTTCACTAAATATTGCGCCACTTTTGAGGATGGTACTTTATGTCAATGCAAATACCTGCATCTTACTCATTAACCGTTGCAATTTAGTTTAGTGGGTGCGTCCTCAACATTTAAATTAAATCATAGACATCTTTTCTGTGCAAGCACAGCTACTTTTAATGTAAATTAGGTTCATTATAAACTATGCTTCTTTCACAAAAAAGTGCTTGATGCAGTTCGCATTGCGCTATTACCAACAAATGATTGGCCTAAGCTAGGTCTGAATACACTGTCTAGCTATAATGGCAATAACTGCTATCATGGTACACTACCAATCAAATGTTTTTGAACAGTAAGATTTTTTAAGTTTTTTAAAGAATTATCTTCTGTTCTCCAAGCCTACATTAATTTGATCCAAAATACAGCAAAATCAGTAATATTGTGAAACATTTTTCCTATTTAAAATAACGGCTTTCTATTTGAATAAATCTTAAAATGTAATTTTTTTTCCTGTGATCAAAACTATATTTTCAGCATCATTACTCAAGTCTTCAGTGTCACATGATCCTTCATTCTAATATGCTGATTTGCTGTTCAACAATTTTTTTTATTTATTATTATTATCAATATTTAAAACAGTTGAGTAAATGTTTTTCAAGTTTCTTTGATGAATAGAAAGATCAAAAGATTATTATCTGAAATATAAAGCTTTTGTAACATTATACACGGTACCATTCAAAAACCTGGAGTCAGTATGTATATGTATATATATATATATATATATATATATATAGGTTAAAGGTCAATGAAAAAAAGTAGTTTTGCAAGAAAAAAGAAAAAAAAATAATGGTATAATGTACTGAAGAATTATTAACTGTAAAACTTTGTTTGAGGGGCTTTTTGACACAATCTAATTTAAATATCCAAGAAACACCTTATAAATCACCATCAATAAATAACATCAAATATTTTGACTATATTTTTTTGCATTTTTATTCTTTAAAAGGGGTGCCTGAAAAAAAATCATCATAAAATAATCATTACAATAAAATTTTTTCAATTTTTATTTTTTAAACATTATTAAAAGGTAAAAAAAAAATCTACTATTAATAATATTTATGAAATGTTTGTCCCTTTCTGTCATGTCATTGTTCTCATCAAGGTTACTTTCTGAAAATACAAAAAGCATGGAAAAGTACTTCCAAGGTCAATAGAAAAAGTTTTAATTAAAGGTATAATGTATTTAATGCAATCAGCTGTCTTAAGATGCTTTTGATACCATGTTATAAGTCAGAAATTCAAAATATAAATGAAATCTCATAACAACTCCTATAAACAGGTGTGTAGGAATAAACAGAAGCAAACAGTCAAGCAAAAATATGTGAATCCCATACACTGTTATAGCTTGCAAATCGTGTTTCAGGTATGCAACCTTCATTTGGCATTGTTTTCAAACAGGAAGTTAAGCACACGCAACTTTAAAATACAAAGCAGCAAATGAAAGCACCATTACAATGAATAATAGCCTAAGGAGAAAAAAGCGACAGAAAGTCAGAAAGTCAGAATTCACCATATTTTGAGAAAGACACAAGCTGCCTCTCACCAGGATCAGTATACAGATACCAACATCTTTTTGTGAATTTGGACATCCGATTAGAGATGTCCTCTTTCTTTTGCTCTCTCCATATCTCTCTCTTTGTAGCACATATTATTGTCTGATTAAATTATACAGCTGAGAGCAATTAAAAATGAGCCCAGCAGGCTGCTGATGCTGCACTGTGCAAATATCATCTCTTGTCTCAGGGAAAATGAAGACAGAGAATTGACATTAACAAAGTGCAGAACAAACACAAAACAAGCCAGAAACGGACAATACATGCAGCATCACAAATACCACTGAATAAAAGAGACAAAATAATGAGGTAAAAAAGGACAGGACAAAGGAAGTAGACTGGGAGAGTGAAAGTTTGTTTGTGAGTGAGAAAGAGAACACTGAAGTGTTGCACTATTAGCTTATCAACATGCTAAAATCAAACTCCTTTAAATTTAGTTGTGTTTTCTTTGCACTTTATGCGCTATTTCAAAATGATAATTTGTTAGAAATGTAATAATACTTTTCAATATAATGTCAATTTTGTCACTTGACAAAGGATTGAGATTTTATAAGATAAAACCAAATAGTGTACTATATGATATTCCTTACCATTTCAAATACAGTAACATTTATTATGATGAATGAATGTGTGATCTCTCACCTCATTGGTGGACAGAACCGAGTCCTCGTCCAGGCTGAGAACTGCATCAGTTTTGATAGCTTGATGAGGGAAAAAACGTCCACTCATCGTCTGAGGGGAAATAAGAAGTGCCATTATTGATTCACAGATTTTCAGCACAGAATGTGGTTGAAATTTAATTTACACCATTAGTTTTTTTTACATTGTTCAGAAATGACAATGCATTTATTAATGAAACTTTACTTTGACACATCCTTGTCTATCATCGCCTGTGACATGTTTGTGTCTTATCTGTTCATCAAGTCAAAGTCACAATAGTTGAACATCTGCCAAAGTACAATATGGTAATTTACACCTTGCGGTAGGAAAAAGGACATTAAATAAAATATTAAGAGGGTGTAGTGAATCTTCAATGCCATTTGAGGTCATTGAACATCCACGTTAATGGTGGATTGCTGAATCCACCATTGTACACCAGTGCCAATTCATGTGTTTGTAGTCTCTCAGGGTGCAAATGAAAATTCGATAAGCCATTTGGCCCAAGAAATGACTATTCTCTAGAAGATTGTATAGCTGCAGCCTAGTATACACTATAGTATATAGCTAAGTTTAACGTGATTTCCAGGGGTCAGGGGTACAGGTTTTATGTGCCAAGAAACAAAGTCTTGGAGGGTATACAAAGTTGTTACAATGAACACATCTCAGAAGAAACTAGTTTGTAGATTTGCCAATGAATAGAATTATTTTATTTTCAGAGTTTTGTTTGAGGCAAATAAACAATATGTACACTATTGCAGCACAACTGTAAATCCTACTAATGTTTTCAGAGTAACGTAAATACAATAATCAGTACTCATTATAGTTGGACGTATAGTCTGACTACAAAGTCAACACACATTTCTACTCCTTTTTTTCAGAGTTCCCAATTGCAACCTGTTCATGGTGACATCTGCCTAATTTATTGTCAGATATTGTAGAATTAGGTTTAGAATGCATGTTCTTTGACATCAACAACATAAGATCAGATTGACCTGTGCCCCATTTTTGAGATCTAATCGAATGACTGTTTGCCAGACAGTCAGAAGTACTGAGAACAGGTTATTTATCACAGCAAAAGGGGTTGTCAACAGATTGTTGGATTTGGTCTTCAAATATCATACAGATTTTCTCTGAAGGTCCTGTTTATACTGCCAAGCCGTTGAGAGGTTGACTGGCCACAGAACACTGACATGTTTAGCGAACAGTGTGACTTTGTGATATCAGTGATAGAGATCAGTGACCATTCATCACTGCAGAGAGAGGATGACATATCATGGTGTACAGAGCCAAAATGTTAGATCAAATCTCCACAACAAGAATACTGGATTCATTCTCTTTATCAGGTCCCTTCAGAGGATATCTGTATTGTGTAGTATCCAAAACCAGTCAGCAGAGTTTTTTCTGATACCCAAAACCAGCTGACAGCAAGTTTTGTAAAATTCTGTCATCATTTACTCACCCTCAAGCCTCGTACACATTATCGCACGCGCTTATTGCCGACGTTTTTCGATGTGTCTTTTGTGTTCATACCCAAGCGATTTTCGCTGGCGATGAGCCGAGAGAACGTGCAAATTCACTCCCTGACATTAGATGGCGCTTAATGAAAAACAGAAATACCCCGGTACACATCGAGTCCTATTTGATCTGGAATTCCTCTCCATAACAACTCCCTCTTATCAAGATTTTTGTAGTCGCTGTCGCGTTTGTCATAAAGCCCTTTGAGTTCGTCCCGGTGTGAACAAGCCTTCATGCTATTTCATGACTTTCTTTTTTTCTGAGGAACAAAAAAGAAGAAGATATATATATTTTTTAAATGTTGGTAACCAAACAGTTTTAGTTTAAAAAGTTTAGTCAGTTTTCTTTTTCCCACTCCCCCCATCTGACTGGAAGAGGTGGAGGTACTGGTCTGCTTATCTCTAATGATTGGAAATGTAATC